TTCAATCACAGTCTGCCATTTTTTAACCATAGAACACATTTTGTCACGGGTAAGATCCATGCCATGGAAGTTAGTCAGGCAGTTTTTGCCCTGAACATCTTCAGTAATCAGCTTGAATTTTCTAAATGCAACTTCATCATTCTGCAGATCAGCAAGACTCACTTCAAACACGCGACCTTTGAGGCCATCAGATGCAATTTTGGTTCCTTGTGTCCTGGTGACTAGTGTTTTCCCAATATTTCTTATATTGAACATAGCAGGTGCTTTCACATCATACCAATCTTTCTTAGAAAATGGATTGACTACTTTCTTCTTGGTTCCCTTTTTGCTGCCTTTTGTAAGGCGCTTGTTCTTGCTGACCACCATGACGGTGCTCAGCGAGCCAAAAGGGCCACACAACTACTTTAAATCTTGAACCATTAATGCAAGGTAGCCAGATGTGCAATTTAAAACAGCTACTATTTTCTACTATCTTAATTTGTACATGAACTTTATGGTCACCCCATAAAAAAACATTAGTCACTGCACCCATAAGTCATCCTTTTTTTTTTTTTTTTGAGACAGTGTCTCACACTTTGAAGAGCTTGGGCATCATAGCTCATAGCAACCTTCAATTCTTGGGCTCAAATGATTCTCTTACCTCAGCCTCCCAAGTAGCTGGGACTACAGGCACCCACCACAATGACTGGCTATTTTTAGAGACAGAGACTCGCTCTCGCTCAGGCTGATCTGCAACTGTGTAAACTTAGGCAATCCACCCACCTCAGCCTCCCAGAGTGCTGGGATTACAGGTGTGAGCCACTGCACCTGACCTGTAAGTCTCTTAGTGATAAAACTATTGAAGAACAAAGTTCCTAAATCAAACATCATAGTAAAAACACATATCTAATAAATTCTACTTTCAGAAAAAACTCTTTAGCCCTAAACAAAATTTTAAAAGTAATCAGAATTTGGGGTTTCTCATTCTGGGAATTCTTACTTTGTTCTGTATCTGAAGAAAATGATTTTACTTAAAAGATACTGGGAAAACAACTAGGGCCCATTCCAAAAGCCTTTTCAAAGCACCATTTACGTTCCTATCTCCATGCACATATATTCATTTTGATAAACTTATTAAAGGTCTACTACAATGCTTGAAATTGTGCTAAGCACTATGAAGAAAAGTAATGATGTCCTCACAACTTTTATGGTTTAAGAAAATACAACATACATATAAATTATGTATGCAAAGGACAAAATATAATATCCATGGCATAAAATGTCAAAAGAATTTGTATGCCAGCGACAACAGTGATTCTTGGGAAATCAGGGAGCCATTGTATAAAATATACCAATTGAGCTACCTTAGCTAACTGGACAAAATGAAGGTGAGGGTGGTAATTTATAAGAGGGTTTGGGGGAAGTTCATGCCAGTGTGAAGGTGAAGAAGTAGATTATCTCTAGACAGTGTTACGTGGTGAAGCCTAAGATATATTAATACAAAGCAGAGTAGGTGACAGGAAAGCCCACTTAACTTTGGAGAAGAAAACAAGGTATCTCAGTCTTCAGGCTTGGTAGTTTGAATTCTTTTCTCTTTTTTTTTCCCCCACCCCAGAGGTAGTTAGCCAGATGAATCTAAGGGTGCAAGGTAAATGGAGAGAGTCCAAGGTTAAGAAAAGGAGTTCCCAGGGAAAAAAATGGAGAAAGCCAATATGTGTCAGGCACTGACAGTGTTTCATTAGGCCTGGACATATGTGATGTCTTATTTAATCCCAACAATTCAGCTATAATACACGTTCATAGATAAGAAAACTGTAGCAATTCAACAACAGTTAAGACCCAGAAACAAAAAGCTGATTAAAGAAAAATTACTCAGGTTTAGGGACCTGGGAAGTATATGTGCTGGGTGGTCAGGAGAGGGAGAAGAATCGAGAGCTCTTGTAAGCACAGATGGAGGAGAGAAGACTGAGGTAGAATCATCTTTTAGGTATAAAAAAAATTAGAGGTGAAGAAAACTGGGACATGAAGAAGAATGCAGCAACCTAAAGAGCAGACACGAATTAGACTTAATAAGGAACAGGAAGAACAAACGCACGAATTAGACTTAATAAGAAACAGGAAGAACAAATGCAGTTAAGAACAAATGGGTAAGCTAGATGTTTAGAGGCTTTGTCCAAAGAAGGAACCTTAAGACCTGAGAATGGGATGGTTTTAAAGGGCTGAGATCCCACCAATAATACCTGGTGGACAGAGGCGGCTGACTATGGATCTAGGTTTCCAGACCTATGGAAACAAGAACAGTTAACTCAGGGTGGCATGTGGAAGAGTCCAAAATAATTATAATGGGTGACAGGAAAGAGAGGAAAATCATGATTCTGATGCTGGAGTCATTAAGGTCTAAAAATAATATCTAAAGAATCCAGAAGCTGATTGATGGGAAACAGAGAAGATGGCTATAGAAAGGAGAACTGGCAAATTGGAGAAGAAATTTTGATGAGTATTTGTGATGAAATCAGTGTCAATCATGAAGAACTAAGAAAAATGCTGACTCTTTTAAAACTGACTTTAAATGGGCCAGGTGCTGCAGCTCACACCTATAATCCTAGCACTCTGGGAGCCCAAGGCGAGTGGATTGGCTGAGCTCAAGTATTTGAGATCAGCCTGAGTAAAAGCAAGACTCTATCTCTACTAAAAACAGAGAAACCAGGGTGGCACCTGTGGCTCAAAGGAGTGGGGCGCCGGCCCCTTGTGCTGGAGGTGGTGGGTTTAAGCCCAGCCCCAGCCAAAAACTGCAAAAAAAAAAGAAAAAAAA